TAAAATGAAGCACGAGAGATGGGGAGAGACATGCGGCAGGTCAGATTCGAACCCAGGTCGGCCACATTGAGGTTTAAGGCCTCCATTCATGGGTCATGCACGCCAGCCATTGCTGCACCGAAACACGCAAAGAGTAAAGATTATTGCCATCAATAGATATAGGATGTAGACGTGGGTCACCAGTGTCAAGGTTTTTGTAAAAAGTTAACAGTAAAGAATGCAAAGGCCTTTAATTAAACGTTTGTGGTTTAAAGACTTTTAAATGAAATTAAAAGAGAAAGTGTCCAGAAATCTGTCTTCAGCTTTACACTATTGGTCTACTGGCCAAACAGAAACTGACCAATTCCAATAGCTACGGGATCCATCAAACTGTAGAGCCCAGCTCCAGCTGTAGTATTTTGGACAGCCTTCGGCTTTTGGCAGAACGTGGCCTCGCCCGGTTTTTGATCAATTTCTCTCATCTACATCAGACTAGATTGTGAAGCGCTCATAATTAGGATGAAGCCAATGCTGCAGCTGTGGGAGCAGGGACAGACAGCACGTCTGTCTGACGACACATTAGGGCAGGACAGACCTAATCTGGGACATTCCTTGAGCTGACTGGTGTAACCAAGTGTCCCTTGTATACACAGTCAGTGCAGTGGTGTGCGATACTTCTTAAAGTACTAATGTGCCTGGTAGCAATAGTACTTTAAAAAGGATATTTATGTATGTTGAATGTTTTTCAGGGATCAGCCCATAATTCAAGGGATATTTGGTCAGTCTGGTTTTTGGAGAGCAGAGGGGGCCAGAGCTGGAGAGCAGAGAGGCCTCTCTGCTCTCCCTCCTTGAGAGGAGTCACCTGCAGTGGCTGAGGTAACATTTTATCAGCCAGGGCATGATATTTAAGCTTTACCAATGTTTATGATTACAGAAATCTAAAATAAACCTCTTAAATTCAGTGACAGTCTTACTGTGCATTTACCCTAAAAATGATATTGTATTACCGATAAGCTTATATGAGGTAGTTAATTTGTCAGGCTCAGGCACAGTTAAACAACCTACAGCCATGAAGCTTGCCTTGTAGGTGGCCTTTAATTATTATAACATTTTTTTCAATTTGCAGCACACCAAGTATTAACATTTTAATGTATATACAAGTAACATTAACTAATGGATAACCCTTAAAAAAACAATCAAGCCATATTGAGACTCTTTGAGTTAATACTAATGGAAAAAGGTCAGTGATACTGAGAAAGATAATGTTCAGACACAGCCAACCTCATGCAAATCATGAAATTAACAAAAATACAGTACTTAATATGTAGTCTGTAGGCACCTTAACATGTTTAGTTAGGGAGAGGTTCAACAGTTTGCAAAATTAGTGTAACTTCCGGGGGGTTGGGATTTTTTATTTTTTGGGAAGGCTTTAATCCCAAGTGTCAATAACATTTATGTGTGCACTGCATGCTCCACACATGTTTAATTACCTGCTACTTTCACAGTTTCTCTTTATGCAAAAGAGTGGACAACAACTAAGGTACCGTACTAGTAATTTATTTCATAAGTGTAACCACATGTTGTATTCTCAATAACTAAATAGACTAGCTTCACATGAGACATAGACTAGCTTCACTGATCTCCATATAATAGAGAATTTGCGCACTGAGCCGAAAATATGTCAGGAGGAATTGGTAATAATTCTTGATAACTATAGTGAGAAGCTTGAGGTGGGATGACCAAAACATTTTACATAAATCATACAAGCAATTCTACAAAATACTAAAAAAAAAAAAATGTATTTAAACTTCTGGATTTGAAAAAGTTTTTACTTTTTAATGTTTTTTTTGTTTTGGCAAATTGAAATTATTTTAGAAACCCTCACTGACCTAAAACAGAAAACTTTAGTTTATAGAAACTGGGTGGCTTTAACTGTATATCTTGAAACAGAAATGATCTTGTCAGCACCTTGTAGTAGCTTTCTTTACAAGGTGTTGAAGCAGCAATTGAGGGTGTCCTAAAATTAAAGTAGGGAGGATATCTGTCGTCATTAAGAAATAAAAATGCAGCTTTGATTTTGGCACTCTTGATGTTGGCAAAAATGTGATTTTAAATCACCCAGACCAACACAAGGAGAAAACAAAAAACATGGATCTTGAAATTTAGCTCATCCCCAAATAACTACATATGTCTTTCTCTGAAAATTAGGTAAATTTGTGTTTAACAAAATGTATCTCAAGGTCACTAAACATTGTTGCAGTACATCAGAACCCTACAGTTTGATCCTATGCTATTTTTATTGCTTTTTGCCCGCTAAAAAGTTATAAACTGCATCCAGCTTTGGGAATATCACCTTGTAGTTTCTCTGACAGCATGTTCCTTTTATAAATAAAGCAGAACCGAATAAAACAAAGAGCAAGTTCTATAAATAATAGAAAGTGAATATATGTAATAAAAGCTATCCATGCATAAAACCAAAAAGGCAGAAATCTTTCACTACCTGACTTTTCTATTAAAGAGGAATATTTTTTTTTTATCTGAATAGACATTTGGTGATACTAGGAAAAAAAAAAAAAAGCAAGACTGAATAATGAAACGCATGTGCCAAACAGAGCGATGGAGCAAAGGATATTGGTGGAGACCCCAGGACCCCTCTGTCTTTGTTCAGTTACTCTCTGTGGATACACTCCTCAGCATACCCTGAACATACCAGGAAATAAAAAGCGCTGGTCTTTGATGTGCTGGAAGGGTGACAGCCGTACAGCTGTCTCCTTGACTCTGCGAGGGAGCTCACGTAACATAGGGAACTTCTCTGTTGTTTTTGCCTCATTATTGGAGCTCCTCTGAGATCAAAAGCTCAGGGAGGCTTTAATTAGAGGGCGAGCTGTGACCTCCCACCAGGCAGCTGTTTGCCTGCACATTATCACCTGGATCCACAAAGAAACTGCACAACTTTAAAGGGACCAACATTCCATGATGTGGTTTAGTACTTCAGGTCCCACAGCGTCAGAAATGCAAGCACTCACAAGTCAAGTGTGTGCCTTCAAGTCCTCACGTCATTGAAGATTTTAAAGGCCAATTTATACTTCTGATGCATAGCCTCTGCAACCGTCAAATCTGTCTGTGTGTGCAACCACGCCCACCGCGCCAAGGTTCTGCAACCGTCTATGCTCAACTTAAAAAAATCCTGACTACGAATCTGACAGTCGTAAACCCATGCAGACCTCAAGTGGACGTGCGCCGACAAAAAGCAGCTGTGATTGGTCCTTTGTTTGCCTTTCCTGCTGTCTGTGTGGTCGTCCTTCTCGATTCGGTGCCAGGGTGCGCGATTTTAAAATAACGAGGAGTATAACAACAATGGACAACTACGACGAAAGGTTGATCAAGGAGGTTTGGAAGTATAACCACTTGTACGATGCCACAGACATGTTGTTTTGGAAAATAAAAACTGCTGCTGGCGCCGCCGAAGAAGTTCTCGGGGCCATCCACCAAAGTTTTCGCGAGTTCTCGAATAGGCTCCCCCTTGCGCCTTGGCAGGAAACTGCTGTGCTTCCCTAGAAATTCCAGACCGAAGTTGCAAAAGCATACCAGTAAAACTTGTTTGCGACCAGACCCAAGCGACATTTGAAGTGTGCGGTTTCAGAAGTATAATCCGCCCTTAAGATTGCACAGAGTTGGGCCATTATTTAATTCAGCATTCAAATTAGTAAATCATTACGATTAAATAGAATCGCGAATGAAACGTAAACATGCTGAGGGTTTTTGGGTACTATTTGAGCTAAAACTACTATAAAAACCAAAGCTGCAAAGGGAAGGAATTCAAAACACTTTCATTTTGTAAAAGAAGAAGGAGAAATGTAGAGGTTTCTGGTGGGTTCAGCCAAGAAAGACGAGAAGCAAAAAATACTCTTCAAGCTAAACGTACAGAAAGTCTCTTCACTTAGGAAAGGCAGCTTTGTAATTTAGTTCTGTGGTAAGTTCATGCGACTGTTAGACCAAGGAGCTCATAATCTGTTAGGGAGTTGTCATCTTTGTGGTTAAAAAAAGGGACCAGGTTGGTTTTAACCAGAAAGCCATGAAAGAGTGAAGTTCGACCCCATTACTCTAATTCAGAAAACGTTAACCACAGCGGTTCAATGCAGCACATTGCCATCAGAGGCAGTGTTGAATTTAACTTTCTGTGTGTCATATAACTAAATAGAGCATGCTGTCAAATGAAAGGGTTAATTGGTAATTAGAGGCTGTCTCAACAAACTGCTGATCTGCCTGCTGTGAAAAATCTGGATTGTGTTTGAATGACCTAAACTGTTTTGATGATTCAGAAAGAAGAATTCCACTCTGATCTTTCAGGTTTAGGCTACACATAAACCCTTAAAAAATAATTTGCATGTTTTCCAGGAGAAAAGAAGAAAAATCTGTGATGTTTGGAAAGCAAGCTCCAGTCACATGCTGCCTAGAACTGGAAATTCCATTAACTAATCAAACCAAATGTGTGTTGAATACAATACACATGACAAGAGGAGCAAGGTTATTTATGTATGCAGTGCTCCTAAATGAATAAGGATCATGATAGTCTCTGCACATTAGTTTCATTCAAATAATTCATCTTTATTCTAACTGTCAATTAAAGGGTCCTATTTATCTTGCTTTAGGCTAAGAAGACATTTTACTGAGAGCAAATTATTAGATTAATTATGAACAAACTGTAGTGGGCAGGACGAAAAGGCCACCATATTACACAAGGTAGTGATTAAGACTGCACATCACATAATTCTTTTTTCTGTCCCAATCTTTGACCTAAATTAGACGATTTGAGCATATTACATAAATAAATAGCAGGCAGGTCAAGAAAGGGGGTATAAACCAGAGTCAAAGACTTTGACAAAACCAGACGGAAAAACAGGAAACAACTTAACAGGATCAGAGGAGGCACCACATTTTCTTAAGGAACAGTTCCCTGCTTTTGTCAGCAAGACATAAGTAGCCAAATCGGTCATGTGCAACCATTTTTCCACCTTTACCTTTTTCAGTAGCCGTGTGGAGTCCTCGCTGATCTGCATGAACCTCATGATGACGTTGTTGAGGTAGATGTCACTCAGTGTTGCATGGTCTTTACTCTCCCTCCTTACTTGGTTCAGCAGCAGGTACCAACAGTTGACTGGCGACAGCAGATTCTGATCTTTTCTAAAAAACAAACAAAAGAAATAACCAGATGTCAGAGAGAAAAACTAATTAGGTTAGATATTTGCCTCTGCCAAGAAGGTTATGTATTTAAGATCGTTTGAGCATGCTTTTGTTTTTCTGTCTGTCTCTGTACAGGGTAACTTCAAAAGTTATAGACGGATTTTAATGAAATTCCTATCAGAGTTGTCCATCATGCGAGGGAACAAATTTAATTTTGGTAATGATCCACATCATAATCTGGATACATAGATTTTAAAAAAGATTGTCTAAAATTGTGAGATAGGGATATTTGGCAGAACAAGCAGTTCCCCACTAAACCAGAGTGTGGCAGTAGGGACTATTGACAACCCCAGCATCTGACTCAAAAAGTCGATCGATCTATTAACAAATCTGCTTTGGAGTCTTTTCTCAAGTTAACCACTGTAAATTGTCTTCAAATTTGAGCTTTGAATCAAAGTTCAAATTTGAAGAAAATTTACAATGTTTAACTTGAGAAAAGACTCCAAAGCAGATTTGTTAATAGATCGTTCAAAATTTAGACTGAGATCAAAATAAAAACACAAAAACAAAGAGCAAATCTGTATATTGTGTAGATTTATTATTATTATTTTTTTTTATTCAAAACATGCACAAAAATTTTTTTGGATAAAATTCTTGTTTTATAAGTTAATTTGCTTAAAACTGTGTTTGTCTGGGCTTTGAATGCAAGTCTAGTTATTTTCGGGGGGGAAGAGGGTGTAGGGTTGAACTCACCCAGGGCCACTTCTAATTTCTGTCGACACTTCATGAATGACTTAAAACTTTAACTGGAAACAGGTCAGCCCAAAGCAACTGAATTGTATTCTGATTTGTTGAAATAATTTTATCAAATTGATGAAGCCAAATGAAGAAAAAGCATAAATAATAATCCTATTATCAGTGACTATGAGAAACTAATACAGAATCTTAACTTAGTTTTGTTGTTAAACATACTAAATCCAGACTGGAAGTATATGTCCACACCAATTGTCTACAAAAAAAAAGTATTAGCTATTTAAAAGAGCCAATGAAACCACGGATGAGTTAGATTATGAAAAAGAAAAAGATGCAGAAAGAGAGAAGCTGTGTTAAAGGGGTAAAGAATGAAAACAGAACAAAACAAAATATAGCAGCCAGAGAGCCATTTCCTGCGTCGTGTGCTGGCTGCTTCCAGGCTAACAGTAGGACATTGTCCAGACCACCGCAAATGGGGCCCTGTATAAGCACCAGCCTGCAGACAGACTTCCTTTGGGTTAATCTGTAGCATTCCTGCAGCATGCAAAACTCCAGCAAAATGTGAGTAATTTTGCCTGTTCATGAACATGTGTGATTTAGGCGAGGTTTCAAGGGCCGTGTCTTAGGTCAAGTCATGAAGGAACCATATGGAGACTCGCCTCTGCTCCCCCGTCACCGAGTCAGTTTACACTGACAGGCAGTGCTTGTCAGCACAACAGGTGACAATTTGCACTTTGCAACCAACCCAGCCCTGAACTACTATTTAATGATGGCAACACATCTGCTGGAACAGCGAAAACAAATCAAATGAATCCCCGATACTAACATTCCAACCCACTGAAGTGTTTCCTAATGCCAAGCAAAAACAGGAAGGGAACAAATTTGATAAAGGCAGATCTTTATTATTCAGACACAAAAATAAAGTAGTTGGGGGAAAAAAATTGAAAAACTGACATTCATTAATGTTAAATGGAAACAGCTTAAGAATAGCAAATATCCTCTTTCTTCCTGCTCTACACAAATAAGAAAACTACCGTATGTAATCTGTATGCTGCTCTCTTTACTCTGACACTCCTCAATAAAATTAAATACAACCGTCTTGAGAAGTCACCTTATTAGTAAATCAGCTTCCTTTGTGCAATTTAAGCTAAGTATTTTCAGACAGAAATAGCATAATGTAAACAAATGGACACACCAAACAGGTCAGCAATAAACTTGTGGTTTAAAAGTTTAAAAACGGGTTTTACACTAATAATCCAAGTTTAGAACATCTTTAAAGAACTGTTAAAGTTAAATCCACACTAAAGTCACAACTGCCGTCCCACAGAAAGATGCTCTGCTCTCGTCATCATGGCCCTTATGTGAGAGGAAAATTGCTATTTTTGACTTAAGTAATACAGCTGTGTTTGCTGTTTGCAAAAGCCAAGAACAGGATTCAGCAAAGATGTGGTCCGATAGTGAGCAAAAGAGAACTACTTACGAAACACTTGCCCCATTTGATCTGTTAACCGTGCCAAACTTGGTTCCATTTACACATCACCCTTGCACGGTTCCTCGCCTCCTATTAGCGGTCATGATACTACGGCTCTCAAGGCAGGAATTACGCAAACAAAAATGGTGGCGCCCATAACATTACGGGAGCTTATGTCCCTGGATAGCGTCCTCCGCCGAAATTTCAATGAGAGCCTCGGTCTCGGCATCATCCCAGGTCGCACCACTCTCTTTTTATGCCATATATTTTTAATAGGCTGAGAAGAAGTTTGTGTTGTGAACAGGTGAAGAGATCTGTGAATTACAAAGCTGGACACGCTGGAAAACACGTGAAATGACTCAGCTGACAGTAAATAGAAGATGACGTGGTCTGCCCATGCGCTCTTTGTTATCAGAGAACCGAGCCCTACTGTTGAACTTGTACTAGATTAGTGTGGTTTGGTTTTGTCTGGCACGGTCTAGTTCAGTTGCATTTAATTTACACCCATCAGTTATCTCAAACCATGCTCGGATCGTTCTCGGCATTGTTTGAAAACAGTAGAGTAAATGGGGCTATAATGTTTGCTGCAAACTACTTGTGAATACACCATCACCTGAAATACAAAATCAATCCTATAAAACACTGTTTTGGATACTGAAGTTAATAAACTAATAAACTACTGAAAGAAAATCTTTAAAAGTTGTCTTGAATTGAAGCTTAAAGGCTAGAGAGACGTTGATGCAAAACAAAAACTACACTGAAATCACTGCAGTAACATCTAGACCTGAATCTAATAAATCACTGCAACAGTTGCTGTTTATCAAAGAAAGGGGAAAAAAAGGGGGAAATTACCATCTACACGGTAAAAGCGGCTAGAATCATACCCAACAAGACTTCCAGCAGGAATCGCTGCAATATTTGCTTTTATTTGTAAAATATATATATATATATATATAAATTAAATAAAAAATAGTTAACTAGCACAACTACTATTTTGAGGCAGAGCTAAAAGTTAAGTCATAACAATTTAAGAGGCTCCAATTGAGCAAATGAAACTAATCCTCTCCCTGAATCATCAGGTTAAAATGTTTAAAATCAGAGATGCCCAATAAATTCCATTTGGATGGCATTTCTTTCTTCTTTAAAAAAAGATAAAGGTTCAATGTTTACACATTTCCTTTACTATGCATTTACACAATAAAACAGACTTTCAGGAATAGCAGCTCTATTCTACATCAGAAATTCCAGAAAAAGCCTTAAGTACTATTGGGAATTAGTTTTCAAACAGTTTGACCAGAGTTTGATTTTTAGAGTTATAGGGTTACACTAATTAAACCTTTGAAGATGGATAAGAGATCCATGTTAAAAACAGCTCCATGAGCAGCTCCATGAGTACTTAGAGAAGAGGAACAAAAAAAAAAAATCTGACAAAAAGAGGTCAGATTAAGAATTGAGGTGATTCACTCATAAACCTCTACGATGAAGCCCCCCCTGAGAGTTGTTAACTATCCCCATATAATAGCAGGAAAATCTCTCACTGTCATCATTTCCCTCTAAGCCAGGGCAGGAACTGGGTCAGACAGATTCCCAGATGATAGCCGAGCTCCTCGGAGATCCAGAGACAGGTATGGAATGGGAAAACTATTGTCCACAAGGGGAAGATGAAACAGAGGTCTCATTAGGAACTTCTTCCTTGTCAAACTTTGGACAGGCCTATGATTCTTTCATTTATAATGTGTAGATATGTGTGTAACTGGGTCAATGTCAATATATTTGCACTCTCATACTGTCGATGGTGCTGGTAAGGAGAAATAACTCCCAGTTTAGCATCCAGCTCCCTGAAACGGGAGCTTTTTACCAACAAAGGGAGAAAAATAGAAAGTACTGAAGTGCCTTAGTGCTAATAATCTTTCAATGATCTAATTGGCCTTTGGAGCAAAACACTGCTACCTTCAGGGGAGTTTGCTCATTGAAACATGCTTTATGTTTAACTTCAAAATGTAGAGATTTTTTTTTTTTTTTTTTTAAATCAACTATCATCTACTATTTCCTCAAGTCTTTTATGGGTATATTAAAGAGTAAAACCTCACTGCACGCACACATGGAGACTTCATTTTCCATGAGGGGGGAAATTATTGCCACCAGATGTGCAAAAGGATTTTTGAAGGTCAAGACCTGGTTTTAAAGTGATTAAGACCTGGTCTGTGCATTAGCACTAAATTTTCATTATGGCAGAACATTGATGAAGATTAAGCACAAGCGAATAAAGCATGCCTACAGGCTACAGGAGATGGACATGGTTTTTTGTGTTTATTTCACCAATAGCAACAAAAACACAAATTCAAGACTTTCCAACGTATTCTTACTGGGTGCTAGAATGTCTGATGATAACCTGCTGTTTTATGTCCCTACTGGGAAAGACTAGCTGTATCATGTTTTTTCTTAAACATCTTCAGTATAATAAAGAGTGCTGGTGCTGATTTAAACAAATGTTCAAATAAACTGTGTAAGCTTTCATTAACTGAAACCAATTTAAAATGTGTTGTTTCCTAACATGACCTAATCACTGGAAGCCTTGTTTGAATTCTTTTATTTTGTCTGTAACACAGCCTTAACTGTACACAAACATATTAAATCCTTTGTGATTATCAAGCAAAAAAAAAAAAAACACCTCTTAGCGGTTAATAACAAGCAATGTAAAAGGTCAGATTAACCTAGAAGCAATAGTGGTGGGAAGCAAACCAATATTGCACATTGTCCTGAAGACACTATCTCC